GAGAATAAAGGAAAAAAAAGATAGTATGTTAAGAGGTAGAGAATAAAGTTCTAGTCAGAGAAGCAGTATATACAAAAATCCAGTGACAAGAGAGAACATCTCAGATTTAAGAAATTACATGAAACATATTTTCACAGGAGTGTGGAATACAAGGGCGGGACCAGGGGAGGGAATAATCAAGTCTGCCTGAGGACAGAGGACAAGTCATGGCAGCTTCATAGACATTAAGGCTGAGGTACAACGTGTCCTAGATGTAAGCAGTTATTTCAGGTAAAAGACATAATAGCAAGAGGAAGGGCACAGGGATATGAAGTGACAAGTCATTCATCCAAGTGTATCTAATGACTATATGACAACTCCAGGGCAATCATGCTTTTAACCCCACAAATATGCTTGAAACAATTGCAGGACAGCAGTGAAGCATACAGAACCAAAGAGCCCTCAAGCAGCTGGTCTGTTTTATACCTTAAAGACAATCAGGCTCTGCTTAGGTCTTTCCCATTTACAGTGCACTTTCCCATTTAATCCTCACACCAGCCACTGAGCCTCAGCATATCAAATCAGTATGTAAAGAATATAATTCAAAGTAAAAAAAAGAAAAAAGAAAAAAAAAGGAAATTAAATAACCCAATTTAAAAATGGACAAAAGAATTGAGTCAATATTTTTCTTAAAAAAACATACAAATGGCCAACAGGTATATGAAAAGGTGCTGGACAGTACCAATCATCAGAGAAATGCAAATCAAAATCACAATAAAATGTTTTCTTCTGCCTGTTAGGATAGCTTTTACCAAAAAGAGAAGAGATAACAAGTGTTGTTGAGGATGTGAAGAAAAGGGAACATTGTGCATTGTTGGTAGAAGGTAAATTGGTACAGTCATTATGGAAAATAGTGAGGAAATTTCTCAAAAACTTTAAGATACATCTACCATATGATCCAGCAATCTCACTTCTGGGTGTATATCCAAAGGAAACAAATCAGTATCTCAGGAAGAAATCTGACTTCCCGTGTTCACTGAAGCATTTTTCACAATAGCCAAGATATTGAAACAATCTAAGTGTCTGTCATCTGATAAATAAAGATGTGATATACATATATATACACACACATAGTACACTACTTATATTAAATACATATATTAATATTATTCAAACATCGAGAAAGAAGGAAATTCTGCTGTTCGCAAAAATATAGGTAAAACAGAGAACAACATACTAAGTGAAATCAGCCAGACAAGGAAAGGCAAATACTGGATGATATCACTTATATGTGGAATCTTAAAGAAAGAAAAAAAAAGCCTAACTCATAGAAACAGAGTAGAATGGTAGTTACCAGGTGCTAGGGAATGAGGTAGATGGGAAAATGCTGGTCAAAGGTTACAAGCCTTCAGTTATAAGATGTGTAAGTTCTGGGGACCTGAAGTACAGCATGGTGACTATAGTTAATAACAATGTGTTGTATACTTGAAATCTGCTAATTGAGTAGAGCTTAAGTGTTCTCACCACACATACAAAAAAGGTAACTATGTGAGGTGATGGATGTGTTAATTAACCTGATTGTGGCAATCATTTCACAAAGCATATGTACATCGAATCATCACAATGTATACTATAAATGTATACAATTTTATTTGTCAATCCCACCTGAATAAAGCAGAAAAGAAATTTTTAATTTGCATCAGGTTTTACCAAAGAAGTTAAATGGTGATTAATATTCCCTATAACCTTTTAAATAGAGAGCACTGAGACCTGTTTCCTACTGTCCATCTGCTGCTTATTTTTGTATATTCCTATCAGTTGCCTGTGTAGTCAATAATTTTTAGCAAACACCTATGGTGAGTTCACCACAGTAGGTGCAATAAGGGATAAAATAACTGATAAAATAAAATAAAATCATTGTCCCTGCGCTAGAATCATTTATAATTTAGTAGAAGAGAGACGATACACAAAGCAAACAGACAGAATCAATAATTAGAGTAGATATATTCAAATTATAAACTCAGCAGAGACAAGTAAGGTTAACCTGGAGTAATACCACCAAGAAATCAAAACTTGACTTGGTAACATTTAGTCATTCATCTCTTGGTTACAAGTTAACGAAAGGCCGATTTTTAGAGCTAGTCTCTGGAATGAAAAAAAAAAATACAGCGTCTCTGTCACTCACTAGCTCTTAGAGGTCAAGCAAGTAACTTAAGCTTTCTGTACCTCAGTTTCCTCCTTTGTAAAATAAGGATAATAACAGTTTCTATCACATCAGGTGAAGAGATAACACAAACAAAATACTTAGCATACTGTTTGGTACAATATAAGCCATTATTAGTCTTCATAAAATATTTACTGGCGATTTAATAGGTACCAGACACTCACATTATGACAAGAATACAAAGATGAATCAAAGGCCACTGGAACTGCAAAATAATTCTTCCAAGGTAATGTGGAAAGCAGACATAACTTCTATAATCAGATTTCTGTGATTTGAGAACAAATCATGAATTTTGCCAAATTCTTCAAGTGTTAAGAATAAGAATGATTTGATGTTGTGAGGGCAAGTAAAAGAACAGCCTCAAGTTAGACCATTTCGAAAAGAAGAATTAGCCTCATTGTTATTATCAAAAATATAATTTCTCATGCCACTCATAAAGAAATCTCTCATAACTGGTAGCACTTAGTCCCTAGAAAATTACCGTTTAGAGTTTAGACTACTCAAGCAAGACTGGTTTCTATAAAGATATATTGAGCATAAAACAGGAAACCATCTTGAACTAAAAAACAATTTCTTTAAGGGCTTATATGCTTCCCTGTAGAAGCAAATTACAATGGGCAAAACTAAAAGATCCTCCCTTAGTGGGGAAAAAAACAAAGCCCAAATATGATATATGCTAAACTTATATTTATATTCCTTTGTCTATACAGGGAATGTCTTTTGTTCTTTGTTTTCATTTATGTAGAATCACTAGAAAAGCCTGTATAAGACAAGAAAACTAACATAACCCATAATAGGTCTCAGTGCAGCTATAAGGAATTTAAAGCATTATGTATATCAACATAGGAAAATTGAACTGAGAATTTTCTGAAAGATATGTTCCTCATCCATCCTCTCAGACCTATCTTAAAACTGCTGATCAAAACATTTAGCAAAAAGGTGTCAGTACTTTTTTCCTACAGTAAGTGTACTCTTTATTGCTGAATAACTGACATATGATATTATGTTAGTTTCAGGTGTACAACATAGTGAGCTTCAACATTTGCATACATTGTGAAATAATCCCCACAAGAAGTCTAGTTATTATCTGTCACCATACAAAGTTAACACAATATTACTGACTTTATTCCCTATGCTGTGTTTTACACCTCCACAACTTACTTACTTCATAACGGGAAGTACTTTTCAATCCCCTTCACTCATTTTACCCTCCACTAACCCCCTTTCCCTCTGGCAACTACCAATTCATTCTCTGTATATATGAGTCTGGGTTTTGTTTTGTTTTGCTTGTTTTGTTTTTTATATTCCACATATAAGTGAAATCATGCACTATTTGGCTTTCTCTGACTTATTTCACATAGCATGATACCCTCAAAGTCCATCCATGTTGTCACAAATGGCAAAATTTCATTCCTTTTTATGGCTGAGTAGTTTTCCATTATATACATATATATATATATATACCATATCTTTTTTATCCATTCATCTGTCAATGGACACTTAGGTGGCTTCCATATCTTGGTTACTGTAAATAATACTGCATTGAACAGGAGAACATATATCTTTTTGAATTAGTGTTTTTGCTTTCTTCGGAAAAATACCAAGGAGTAGAATTGCTGGACCATATGGTAGTTCTATTTTTACATTTTTTGAGGAACCTCCATACTATTTCCATAGTGGCTCCACCAATTTATATTCCCACTAACAGTTTATAAGGGTTCCCTTTTCACCACATCCTCACCAATACTGTTATTTCTTGTCTTTTTTATAACAGCCATTCTGACAAGTATGAGGTGGCTTCTCATCATGGTTTTAATCTGCATTTCCCTGATGATTAGTGATGCTGAGCATCTTTTCATGCACCTATTGGCCATCCGTATGTTTTTTTTGGGAACATGTCTATTTAGATCCTCTGCCCATTTTTTAATCAGATTGTTTGTGGGGCTTTTTGTTATATATTTTGGATATTAACCCTTTATTGGATATATGACTTACAAATATCTTCTCCCATTCAGTAGGTTGCCTTTTCATTTTGATGATGGTTTCCTTCACTGTGCAGAAGCTTTTTAGTTTGATGTAGTCCCATTTGGTTAATTTTGCTTCTGTCTCCCTTGCTTTGGAAGTCAGATCTTTAAGAAAAAAAAATCATAAAGACTGATGTCAAGGAGCTTACCATCTATGTTTTCTTCTAGAATTTTTATGATTTCAGGTCTTACATTCAAGTCTTTAATCCATTTTGAGTTAATATTTGTGTATGGTGTAAGACAGTGGTCCACTTTCATTCTTTTGCATGTTGCATTCCATTTTCTTAACACCATTTATTAAAGAGACTGTCCTCTGAAGGGGTCAGTATTTTGAACAATACCCCTAGATATCATTATAAACAAGCACAGACTATTACTGAATCACAAATATTTACTGGATGAGTATAAAAATAATAACTAATGCTTATTACCACATATTATTTAGAGGCACTTTGCGCTACCTTTTATATGTATTAACTAATTTAATCCTTATAATCATCATATGACTGAGTTCTGTTATTATCCATACATTACAGATGTGAAACAGGCACTGAAGTAAGTAACTTGCCCAAGTCCATAGAGTTAACTACAGTTTCATTTGTAAGGAGTAATAAACTAATACGCTAATAACAGTGCTTTACCATTTTCATTGCGACCTTGAGCATATTTTTCTATCTAATCCTCAAAATAGCTTTAAGATCGGTAATGAAGTTATGAGCACATATTTCACAAATGAAGTCAGTTCAGAAGTATCACAACGAGAGGTCAAAGCCAGGTCTTCTGACCATATTCTCATTTTCTTTACATTCTGGTTTGAAAAGTTCCTTTAACTTTCAATATTCCATAATCCTATGAAACTGCAGAACAGTTTTCACTTATAAATATTGATAAAGCTAATTAATATAGCATGTATTTCTCTATCAAACCCTTCTCTGAGTACACTGCATATATTTTAACTCTTTTAATCCTCACAATTCCATGGATAGTTACTATTACTATCTCTACTTTATAGATAAGAAAACTGAGGAACTGAGAGGTAAATCATCTGTTTAGCAAAGTATTTGCAGCAACAAATAGCAGGGCTAGGATTCGAGCCCAAGTAACAGGAGGCCAGAGACTGTCCTTGTAACTGTTACAGGCCTCATGTACTGTTAAATTATATAGCCTCTCAGGAAAAGTCCATCCTAAGCGCTTAAAAAAAAGAAAAGAAAGAAGGCATAATGTTTAAAATAGCATTTCTGACTTGAAACACCTTTTAGAAGGTGAGGTGACTAAAACAATCAATAGATAGTTATGGAATATTTGCTTTGGGCGGGCATTACATTAAGCACTGCCTAGAATATAAACAAATTTAAGCTGTATTCCTGTTCTCAAAAGGAGTTGAGTTGCCGAGAGAAGGCCTACATACACAAAGTAAGCCTTCAACAAAACTGGGACGATCTTTATTGATTCAGATACACTATAAATATCAAAATGTGTAAGACAGATAATAAATGGTATACAAAACTGCTAAGACATGAAATAAAACCTAAACAAAATAAACCATGCGTGAACAGGGAAGCCCTACAGCAACTTAAACCAAAATGAAAATGAAAGCGGATTCCCATGAAAATAACATCCTTTTCACAGCAAAATATAAAAAGTATGATTTAGCAACAGATTTACCCTAAACTTCATCAATCCTCTTTAAAAAAATTATATTATCTTGTATTTTAGATCAATATTTGGAGCAACAAAGAAAGAGTAAGAGGTGAAAAATGTCTTACATCTTTTACAAATTCTTTCAAACACCTGATTACTGAAGAGCTGTCTACAGAATTTAATAAGATGCTTAGTTGCTAGATAACATAATATGCTGCATTATTTCTTAACAAGATCAGCAGTTTATGTCTGAGATATTGATGATAACATAGTGCACTGTGCGATGTCCAAAGAAAACATGCAATCTTAGCCTATACCTTTCTTTTCTGTGTCAAGAATTTAAGAGCACTTGCTTCCTCTTCCAGTGTCCTCCCCTTGATGGAGTTTACAGTATTTATATTATAAATACAAGATCCACTAGGAACAAAAATAAAGGCAGAGTGGCAACTGGATCACTGAACATCATTTGTAAAGGTCATCCTAATTATTCATTTTGATATTAATGTTAATTGTGCTGCCAGTTAATTATATTTGGATAAGAAACCAACAATGCACATAGAAAAAAATTCCAACCACACTCAGAAAAAGCTGAAATGAATCACACCTGGGCATGGAAATCTACTGTAAAGGGTAGAAGCTTATAGGATAAACTTCTGTGTCAGGAGGCAAATAATCTGCCAGAGTCTTTTACACTGAAGGACTTTTTTCCTCTAAGAAACATTTAAGAACCATATACCATTACCTAAGTGCTAGCTACCGAAATGTGGGAAAAAGACATAGTCCTTGACATTTGGGTTCAAATTTACTGAGAAAAAGAAACACAATAAAGAGATAATTACAATACACTGTGTTAAGCATAATAATGGAGATCGGTCCCTCCTATGGGAACATGTGACAATTCAGGAAGAAGCAACTAAACCTCTGGAGAAATTAAGGAAGGCAGAAATGATGAGATGACTACACATGGCATACTGAAGCTTGAGTGAAAAATGACCAAATGGGAAGAAGAAAGGCAGAAAAAAGAAAACCCTTGAATTAAACCAGAGTTTTCTCCTACAAAGGAGAAAGTTTACGCCAAGTGACCAAAAAGGGCAAGATTTTCTTTTGAATAAGAAAAATTTTCTGTTAAGGACTGATTAATTTTGTTTAATTTGCTGAAACAGCTTCTGCATTTGCAAAAACCTTAAACCTGTCTCTCAAGGATCTTCAGATTAGTCAAAAATCTAGAGTGTTAGGAAAAGGAAAGGATGCTATCCTTCTGATCACCACTGCCACCACCACCCTCCACCTGTAAAAAGGCTTTGTAGGTAAAATACACAAATGGACTGATAAAATGAAAATTTAGCATCTAAATGACTGATTCCTTACTAGAAAATATCTGCAGCAAGGATATTCAAGGCGATTCTTCATTGTGATGCAAGTCACAACTCCACGCTCACTACAAGGACTACTGTGTTTGAACCAGTCAGGATCTCATTTTTTGACAAATGATCGGACCAGCAATCCTCAGAGAGGATTGTAGTTTTCCTAACAAGGGAGTGCAGAGGTCTGTCTGAAACAGAGAGCTGCATACTTAATCAAACGGTTCACATTCTGCAAAAACAAAGAAGACTTGCGAGAATGGAAAGGTCCTCTTTGGCAGTGACCCTAAGAGAAGCCAATATTGAAGAAGAGGACCAGACGATAATTCCCAGAAGACAATCCCTCAACTCTATAATATGCAAATCCCCTATAGGCATACTGAAGTCACTGGGCATGTCTCCATCAAATGTATATTAATGAGTCCTGAAAGGTTCTCAAACTCTGAGTAAATCTCACTAGGCAGCTAGTGTTGCATAGGACATTTATTAAACCCATTTTCAACTGACCACGTTACAGCTGCCAAAAACAGATGATTCAGTAACTTAAAAGAATATGAGACATGTTTTTTTTCCTTCCAAGTACCCCCTGGGGCCCTGTTTTGAGGGTAAGATAAACAAGGATGAACAATTTAAACAATACTTTCAGTGGTTTCAGAAACTACTCAAGAAAAGTGGTCTAAGAGACAGGTGACAAAGTGACAATCCACCTCTAAAAAAATGAAGAAAAACTCCTGGGAAACTACATTTTAAAGTCTAAAGCTTTGCCAATGGTAAATACATATCTGGAGTAATTCAGTTGCTGAATTTCATAATTCTTATTTATTACAAGGCAAGTCAAACTTCCTCTTAATATGGAGGTAGTCCTCCATTCAGAACTGTCAGGAATATCATCACTTCTATTTCATTCTAAGACGATTAGAAGCAAGTCACAAGGAAGGACTTATATTCATTCAAAGGAAACAAATATAATGGACCCCACCTCCTGATGGAAGAGTGTGTCAATATTGCTATAGTGGACACACTCTCAGGGGACCCAATGACACATGTCCTTGTGTAATTTCTTCCCTGTGAGTGCAAATCTTGCAACTTGCTTCCAACCAATAGAAAAGGGGAAAGGTGGCAGAATGTCACTCCTTTGTTTAGATTGTGTTATAAGGCAAAGGAGGTATTACGTTGCTGCTCCAAAGGTATTACCTTAATATGTTATGGTCAAAGTGTTTGTGCTCCACCCAAATTCATACGTTAAAGCTCTAACTCACGATGGTATGTGGGAGGTAATTAGGTATTACAGTAGAATCTTTATGATAGGATTAGTATTCCTATAAAAAGAGACACCGGAGAGCTTGCTCTTTCTCATTCTATTGCTCATTCTATGTGAGAACACAAGAAGGTGGTCATCTGCAGGCCAGGATGAGAAGGCCAGGAAGAGAGTCCTTACGAAAGATGACCATGGTGGCACCCTGATCTTGGAGTTCCAGCCTCCAGAATTGTGAGAAAACGAATTTCTGTTGTCTAAGCCACCTAGCCTATGGTATTTTGTTATGGCATCTTGCCCTGAATAATACATTATGTAATATGACAAAGATGATAGGATGTTATGCCAAAACTATGTTGGCAGACTGGAAAGAGAGATTATGTTGATGGCCTTGAGGAATCAAGCTGCTGTGATGTAAACTGCCTATGGATAGGTCCACATGGCAAGTAACTGCAGGCAGCCTGTGGGAACTGAAGGCCTTATTGCTACAGTTGTAAGATACCTTTAAAGACACTTGGGGAATCTTGGAGGTGGACCTTTCCAGTGAAGCTTCCAGAGGAGAATGCAGCCCAGTCAATACCTGGATTGTAGCAGCCTGCTGAGACGCTCAAGCGGAAAACCCAGCTAAGCCATGCCTGGGCTTTTCAGCAACAGAAACTGAGATAATAAATGAGGGTGATTTAAGCCACTACATTACATTTCTGGTAAATTATTACATAGCAACAGAAAAATCAATACAATCACTTTATGAGACAAGCATATGGCATGGTGTGTCTTTGGGGATAGTGTGCCACTTTAGGAAAATACAACCTGCCATAGTTGTTTATTCTTTCCTGTTATCCCTAAAC